TGAGCCAATTGCCGCCGATTTCGTCCAGCCAAGCTATCCACCAGCGTTCAGTGCTATTAGCCCGTCACCCACAGCCGAGGCCGTCTTCCCGTCACCCACAACCGAGACCGTCTTCATCTCCACCGAGCCCTCACCGGCCGCGCCCTCACCAGCCGCCGCGAGTCCTCCATAGCCGAGCCATCCACAGTTAAGCTCTCCTCCAGTCGAGCTCTCCAAAGCCGAGGCCGAGTTCATCCTCGCAAAATTCACCGCCAACGCATCCTCGCCGGATCCATCACAACCGCTATTCTCGGCTGTTGCTTCAACCTACCAAGTCTCCCTCTTGCTAAAAATAGATGACGGTGAGGGTTCGGGCAGAGGCCATTGCAGGAGACTATCCGGAGTTTTTGTTGGCGACGTTGCAGGGCCAAAATTCGAGCCGGCAATGAGGAATCAGTCGCGATTCCGGCGACGATTTTCTGCTTCACTATTCCTGTAACGGCTCGATGGCATCCTCGTCAGTCCTCAACGCAGAGCTCGGAACTCCGGCGGTGGCAGCGCGACAAGGCGCGGAGGTCGGAACTGCAACGACGGCGGCGATGCGGCACCGGTCATCGAGTTTGGGTTTTTTCGAAGTAAAGGGTAGAGATTTAAAAAGGGTAGTTCTGTCATATGCATATTTTGATATTTTAGATTAATAATTGATATTTTACTGAAGGGTAATCTCGTCTTTTCACAACTTTTAAGGGCTTGTTTGGATTAAAATTTCGAACAAGGGGTGTGAGTGTTCAAAAAATAGCTAACTTATATATGTCTGTAAATACCCTAAACCTCAAAGGGTGTCATTATAATTAATCCTAAAAAATAGAAAAACAATTACTTACAATAAGAAGGAAAAAGTATTCTCTTCCTATGGTGTCTTTTGCCATTTAAACCCATGCATAATTTTATCCTCGAATACTGTACATGCTCTCGTCAGTCATCTTTTTTTAATACATATGTCACATTGTCACGTGTGCTAGGCATTGTTGACTTATTATTTTTGTTACTATAATTATTATGTTATTAGTAAGAAATTCACTTACACACTAACTTTCTCATTTAAAAATTCGAATCAAACTTTCACCACTCACTTTAAAAAGGAGAAAATACCGCTAGTCACAAGATCGTTGGTATGTTATACTGGACTTATAATAATAATTAAGGTTAAAATTATAAAACTTTTGCTACTTTCAAAATTTGATCATAAAATTCCAACTTGTTTCAAAAAATCCCTACAATTTTAAAAAGTGATTACATTGTCCTAATATCCGTATCCGACCAGTTAACCGGGTTATGAAATGACAAATTTAACCTTACTATTCAATATTAAATTAAAAACTAAAAATTATTTTTTTAAATTACAAAATTATGTTTGAAAGAGGGGGGGTGAAGAAGAAGACTAAAGGGTATTTTTGTAAATTTACAAATTAGTTTTAAAATTTTAATTTAACATTAAATAGTAAGGTTTAATTTGTCATTTCATAACCTGATCAACGAGTCAGATACGGATATTGGGGCAATATGATCATTTTTTAAAAGTGTAAGGGTTTTATGATCAAAATTTGAAAGTAATAGAGGTTTTATGATTTTGACCTTAATAATTAATTATATTAATATTATTATTTGACTCACTCCTGTACATTTAGTTTGCCTCAAAGAATTTGAACTCACAACTTTATATTTTGGAAGGCGAGGAAGCACCATGAAATTACCATTTTGCTAACTTATAGTTTATATGACATGGACTCTTCAAAATTAGGTGAAATATTTGTGTCGGACACATTATTCGACATGAGAATGAGATGTGTTCGACAATTTTGGTTAGACACTTTTGATTAGATATTATGAAAATGAAATGTGTTCGACACTTTTGGTATTTAAAAAATATATTCATAATTTAGTTTTATTATATTGTCACTTCAAAATGATCGTAATGCCACTATGTCACCTAAGCACATTATTTTATTTTATAAAATAAAATAAAAATATCAAATAAATAAATATTTAGTAGTGTTCATTTGTCGTCATCTTTAAAGATTTTAAACAATGTGTGATTTGTGTGAATGCATATGGACACTCAACACACTGTCGGAGTTCATATAAAATAGCTTATATTTGTGTATTCTATTATTATTATTATTATTTTACATGTGTGTTTTAGTATATTTGGTACATTGAAAAAAAAAAAATAAATGACAGCACTAGTTTGAAAGACGGAAAAAAAGAAAGAAAAGAGATGAGAGAATAATTAACTAACTATCCTGTTTAAGTGATTAATGAAAGAAAGTAAAAGGAAATGAAATGATCATGTTTTGAAAAAGAAAACTCAAAATAAACTAACTATCCTGTTTAAGTGATTAATGAAAGAAAGTAAAAGGAAATGAAATGATCATGTTTTGAAAAAGAAAACTCAAAATAAAAGAAAACAAAACAAAAAGGAAGGGAAAAAAAAGCACAAATTTGATATTAATAAAGTTCTATTTAAAATGTACTATTTGTTATTTATACTACCTCAGTTTTATATTAATTGTTTACTTTAAAAATTTTGACTCACAATATTTTGTGAATCAAAATTACGAAAATAGACATATAATATGAAATATAGATAATATATAAATACATAAAAAGAATGTAAATAAAAATTATCTCAAATAACTTAAAAAAATAAAAAGTGATAGTAAATAAAAAATTTCAAAATTCACAATTAATATAGAACCGAGATTGCATCATATTTTGTCCCTCCAAATTCTTCATTTTCTTTCCTTTTTCTTCGACATTTCATATCAAACATAATTTCTCATCAACCCTCTATTACCTTTCTTTTCTTTTTCCTCCATCTCCATTATACCACTTGGTACAAGTCATGCAATTGTCTTAAATTTTGTGAAGAAAATTATGCAATCGTACAAATGGAATGATTGACATATTTGACATATGGAAACACAGTGGACGAGGGAGAAAAAAATAAAACAAAAAATCATCTCATTATAAAATAATTTTCAACACTTCATTATTTATTTAGATTAAATATAATGACACCCCCTGAAATTTGAGATATTTACAAACATATATAAGTTAGTCATTTTTTAAACACTCACACCCCTTATTCGAAATTTTAATCCAAACAAGCCCTTAAAAGTTGTGAAAAGACGAGATTACCCTTCAGTAAAATATCAATTATTAATCTAAAATATCAAAATATGCATATGACAGAACTACCCTTTTTAAATCTTTACCCTCTGCTCCGAAAAAACCCAAACTCGATGACCGGTGCCGCGTCGCCGCCGCCGTTGCAGTTCCGACCTCCGCGCCGTGCCGCGCTGCCACCGCCGGAGTTCCGAGCTCTGCGTTGAGGACTGACGAGGATGTCATCGAGTCGTTACAGGAATAGTGAAGCAGAAAATCGTCGCCGGAATCGCGACTGATTCCTCATTGCCGGCTCGATTTTGGCCTTGCAACGTCGCCAACAAAAACTCCGGGTACTCTCCTGCAATGGCCTCTGCCCGAACCCTCACCGTCATCTATTTTTAGCAAGAGGGAGACTTGGTAGGTTGAAGCAACAGCCGAGAATAGCGGTTGTGATGGATCCGGCGAGGATGGGTTGGCGGTGAATTCTGCGAGGATGAACTCGGCCTCGGCTTTGGAGAGCTCGACTGGAGGAGAGCTTAACTATGGATGGCTCGGCCATGGAGGACTCGTGGCGGCTGGTGAGGGCGCGGCCGGTGAAGGCTCGGCGGTGATAAAGACGGTCTCGGTTGTGGGTGACGGGAAGACGGCCTAGGCTGTGGGTGACGGGCTAATAGCACTGAATGCCGGTGGATAGCTTGGCTGGAAGAAATCGGCGGCAATTGGCTCAGTTGACTTCAGAACGGCAGTGACGGGCACAGCTAACTGATAACGGCGGTGATGGGCTCTGACTCGTCCGAGTTGGACTTGGTCGGGTTCAATGGCTGTGCTCGGAAGGATCTATGGAAGACAGCTCGGAAGGTAATACAACCGGGTTCAATGGCTGCCTCTATCCTATGTTTTGTATGTATATATATATGTGTGTGTAATTACCCTATTATTTTGTACGTATGTATATATAGATATATGTGTGTAATTTTGAATTGTAGGGTTTGTGTGATGGTGGTGGAATAATGAAGAAGATGGTGGTTGTTGAGGTTAGGGTGGTGATGAGTGGTGGTTGTGTATATTGGCTGAGATTACTTTGGTCATTTTACGTGGTCAAAGGGTAAACATGTACTTTCACCTAGTTTGAGGTGTCATTGTTTAAAGTTTACAAACTTGAGGGGCCTTATTGTCTAAAAAAGAGCTAACTTATATATGTCTGTCAATACGATAAACCTCAGGGGTCTCGTTGTAATTAATCCTATTTATTTTAATTGTTTATTTTTAAAAAACTGCATGTGTGTGTGATGTTTCCAATGTTTTCAAAGACGTGTGGACATGGATCGTTCAATCGGACTCGGAAGGTAATACAACCGGGTTCAATGGCTGCCTCTATCATATGTTTTGTATGTATATATATATATATATATATATATATATATATATATATATATAGATATATGTGTGTAATTACCCTATTGTTTTGTATGTACGTATATATAGATATATGTGTGTAATTTTGAATTGTAGGGTTTGTGTGATGGTGGTGGAATAATGAAGAAGATGGTGGTTGTTGAGGTTAGGGTGGTGATGAGTGGTGGTTGTGTATATTGGCTGAGGTTACTTTGGTCATTTTACGTGGTCAAAGGGTAAACATGTACTTTCACCTAGTTTGAGGTGTCATTGTTTAAAGTTTACAAACTTGAGGGGCCTTATTGTCTAAAAAAGAGCTAACTTATATATGTCTGTCAATATGATAAACTTCAGGGGTCTCGTTGTAATTAATCCTATTTATTTTTATTGTTTATTTTTAAAAAACTGCATGTGTGTGTGATGTTTCCAATGTTTTCAAAGACGTGTGGACATGGATCGTTCAATCGGACAGACCCTCACGTCGTTTCGGGTCAAACCGTGGAACAGAACTTGCCTAATCGTCTTGGTCAAGAGCATGAACATTCATTCGACGCAGAGACAAAATTTAGAATTTTTTGAGCTAAAGCCTAAAATTGCGCATAAACTTCTTGTGATAGACTACTAGTAGTATTCTACAATTTAAACACAACTCCCTCCCTCATTCTTGTTTGGTGTTTGCAACTCCATAACAGCTCTCTCTCCTCCTGCACTTTCTCTCTCTAAACTAATTGACGAGGATGAAGAGCAGGAGCAGCAGTGGCGGCAAAGTATCTGCAAAATGGATACCCATTTTCTCCATCTCGTTCTTCGTTCTCGGAACCCTTTTCACAAACAGGTCTGTCTGTCTGTCTGTCTGTCTGTCTCTCTCTCTCTCTCTCTCAAATCCTTTTTATCTTTTTCTGGGTCGAAATTGAAGATTGGGTTATATATATTATCAATTATATTATGTATGAGTTTGTGTATGTTGATTTTGTTTAGTGGGTTGTGTAGCTGACATGGGTCTGATTTTGGATCGCGTTACAGATTGTGGGTTTCACTTGAATCTGACAATGATCAGCTCATATCGCGACCTCGACATGACGAGGAGTTGCAGATCGTCTCGGAGGACTGCTTGACGAAGAAGAAGGTGTTTGTTTGTTTGTTGTATTTTAATTCAAAATCCTAGATTCAATTCTTTTGAGCTGATTCTGTTTTGAGTGTATTTGCACACACATCACACAGAACATAGAAATTCAATGTAAATTGCTTTTGAATTTGATTTTATTAGAAGCCTGGACAAGATAAGGATGTAATGGAAGAGATTTACAAAACCCATGAAGCAATTCAGTGAGTATAGAGATCTCATAGTCCCAATTTTGCTTTCTCTCTCTATATAAAATATGCACACATAGATTTTTGAAGTTTGTATTGATAAATTGTATGTTTTCTTCTCTTTTTTTTTTGAATTTTCGGTATGCCTGTCAGATCACTTGACAAATCGGTTTCGACACTTCAGATGGAGTTGGCTGCAACTCGAAATTCTCAGAAGAAGGGGAGTTCTGTTAGCTCTGGTGAAATCTCTACCTCATCTCATGAGGGCCCTCCAAGGAAGAAGGCATTCATAGTCATTGGAATAAACACTGCTTTTAGTAGTAGGAAGAGGCGTGATTCGGTTAGACAAACTTGGATGCCTCAAGGTACTAATTTAATAAAACTATCGTTGTGATTCGTTATGGTTTTGTGTGATCCAAAAATGTATTGACTGGTTTGTTGGTTTGATTAGGTGAAAAGCTTCTCCAGCTAGAGGAAGAGAAGGGGATTATTGTCCGGTTCATGATCGGCCATAGGTAAATCGCCAGTTTATATTGTATAGTGCAAATTGTTGAGCAAATATAAGTCTCATTATCATACTACTGGAAATTGAATCCATTCATGTTCCTTTATACGAGTCTATGGGAAAGTAGGATGTTTTAAGGTGCTAACTAGCCATGGGTTCACTAGGAAAATAGGAATTGTAAGTAAGTGTAAGCCTTGTAATCCTTGTTCAGTGTAGGCCTGTAAGAATACCTCCTTCCAAGGGTTCCAGAATTAGATTGTAAAACAAATTGTTCTTAAAGATGAAAAGAAATTGAAAAACATGAAACACAGTTTTACTCAATCCACATTTCAAGGTGGGTTAATGATGTGTAGCTTCTCCAACACGACAGTTTCAGAGAGCCTCATCTTTAACGGTGATTGAGGAGGATATTTCTTGGGATTTAGGGTGGCTTTTCCTGTATCTACTATAGAATGAGCACACTATTAAAGATGCCCCCTTTGCCCTTGGTGTTCATTGTGTTTTTTTGGTAGATGAGACTAATAAAAGATTCCCATTACACATTAATAAACAAACTAATTCTAAAGAGCAAATACCAAAAGTCCCAGAAACATAGTTGTTAGATATATGGTTATGAATGAGGCTTAGCCAAAAGGGATGGAAAAGGAAATATTTAAAAGGGGGTATTTCGAGAATTTTGAACTGTTTGAGCAGCAAAACTGGGAAAGATAACAATGGATAATGACTCTTTCAGAAAATGTGGTAGTTAGCAAACTACTTTTGATGGAGAACATACCGGATGTCGCAGAAACATAGTTATCTGAAACTTTGTTGTTAAATGTGGGTTAACCAGGAAGAACATAGAAGAGAAAGTTTAATACAGTTCATAAGAAGTGGGAAAGTTGATGAACATTATGGACACTTCGAAAAAGTATAGGAGTAGCTGTAGCTCAGTAAGTGATACTTTGAGATGGTTCAGTCATATCCATTGTACTTGTATTATTAAACAGGTCACAGGATGTCAATTTGAATGTGTTTAGAGTGCTAGGAGGAGGAAATGGACCAGTAGCATATCTGTTTCTAATTAATATTAAAACAACCCTAAGAGGGATAGATGAGCTATATGATTATATCTACTGAATCAGTTCATTGGATCAATAACAACTTAAAATATTTGCCATGCCATTTTTAGTTGCTGCCTAACATATGTTAAGGTAGGATATAAAGCCAGGTGTAAAGTCACATGTTCAACCTTCTGACATTACATGTGACCTTTAATGTGAGGGTATAAAGTGCCATCATTTCATCTACTTTCTTTTGAATGAATACACGGCTTTCCTTTTCTTGTTGAAAAGGCTTTTCCTTGTTATTTTATGTTTGTTACTTTTCTCCTTCTATAGGAATGCCAAAAGAGAGCTGCAAATTCAAAGTAATAGAGTATCTTTTAACTTGAATGGTTCCAAAATAAGTAAGCTAGGATGATTATGGGGTGAAGCTTAGTTGCTTGGAGGAAGTAGTCATGTTGTGGAGCTTATATGAGATTCAACATCTTAAACCCAAGAAATTTAAACAGTTACTGACAGACCATGGGATGGGGATTTAATGTTTGTCCAAAAGGATATTTATAAAAGCTAAGAGATAGAGATATTCAGAGTTGACACACTTTTTGAAATCTTGCAAAGGAGCACCTGGTTGTAAATGGTTTTCTGTAAAATGTATCTTTTAATGCATTTTTTGGTATGATATTGCATTAAATGTAATTACACTAGTTATTTGTGTAAGGCTTTGCATATTGCTTATATTTAAAGCACTAAAATTGATGCTAATTCATCTTCCAAAACCAATAAGTTGGCGCGCTATGGGCTTTAGCGATGATTTTGTGAAATCTGCTTTTGTAATTAAGGGAACCTATGTAGGAAACTCTAATGATTGGGGCCGGGGCACCTTTTGTATGTGCGCGCGCGCTCGTGTGTGTTTGTGACTATGAGGTCTACTCATTTTACCGTTGATGGATGACATAGCTTTGATAATTAGAAGTATGGTAACTAGGGTTAATCTTAGAAAAAGCTGGCTTTATTTATTAAAAAAAAAAACATATCTTTGGGATACATGACTAAAAAGGAAAGTATATCTATCAGTAGCACTACCAATATTTGTTTCATACATGGTTCCCATCTGAGAATGATAGATCAACATTGTATGGTGTATTGTTGCTGTTACATATCAATTGACAATTATAGATTAGCATTCAATGCCGTAATTTTTCTGTAATGAATGCATAAGATCTGACGTGAATAATATGTGTTAATTGATTCAGCGCAACATCTAACAGTATATTAGATCGAGCTATTGACTCCGAAGATGCTCAGCATAAGGACTTCCTCCGGCTGGTAATAAAGCGCACACCAGCTTGCCCTATATATACATATGCATATATGTGTGCAAATTGTGACACTGCACCAAAATTTTGGTCTGTCTTGATTATCCCGTAGGAACATGTTGAAGGCTATCATGAATTGTCTGCAAAAACAAAAACTTTCTTTTCCACTGCTGTTACAAAATGGGATGCTGATTTCTATGTCAAGGTGGATGATGATGTGCATGTCAATTTGGGTACAAACTGTCTCTTTGCATTTTATCTTCTCCTTTATTATTCCATTTCCCTTTCCCCCTGCTATTTGGTCACCATTTACGAACCGTCACATGTTTTAATTCTCTAGGTACGTTAGCTGCAACTCTTGCCCGTCACAGATCAAAGCCCAGGGTGTACATTGGGTGTATGAAATCTGGACCTGTTCTTTCTCAAAAGTAATCCCAGAATATTCAATTATATAACAAATTTTTTTTTTTACTTGCGCTTTAACCTCAGTAGTGTTAATTTACTTATTCATTTACTTCTTTTTCGTTCTCTAGAAATGTTAAGTACCATGAACCAGAATACTGGAAATTTGGAGAGGAAGGGAACAAGTACTTCAGGCATGCAACTGGGCAGATCTATGCTATATCAAAGGATTTGGCCACATATGTTTCAATAAATCAGTAAGGATCGAGTTTGTATTTGGTTTAGCCTTGTATGCAACATCATTAGTTACCATATTAGTAAAAGTCAACCAAGAATGATATTAATGCCAAAAAGAGTTTTGAACTTCTGTTAACTTTGCTAATTTGGTTAAATAGTTTGATTTCAGGTCCATATGTTTTGAGCTGCAATAATACTGCTTCATATGGCAGCTTAAACAAAATTCTTTTTGCAATTTATATTTTCTGATTCCCAAGGCAAAGTTAAAACTCTGGACTACTTCTGTTGTAATTGCAGGCATATTTTGCACAAGTATGCAAATGAAGATGTGACGCTTGGTTCATGGTTTATTGGCCTTGAAGTTGAACACATTGATGACCGCAATATGTGCTGTGGGACTCCACCAGGTACTACTATCTTCAGAAATATATATAATTGAACAATGCCTTTCATTCGAACTCGGACCACAAAATGTCGGTGCAATCGCCATGAATAGGTTTTGGATATGTTTGATACAAAAAATCACAACTAGGTGCACCAGAAACCAGCACAATACCCTACTTATTATCACGACCTAGTGAACTTTGCACAAAAAACTTCCCATCATTTCAACAAATCCTCGACAGCCAGAAAATCTAGTAATAGATTTCTGCTGCTTCTTGTCTTGGCTAAAACTCGACTTCTGTCTGTGTTGATGCGACTTTGCAGATTGTGAGTGGAAGGCACAGGCAGGTAATGTGTGCGTCGCTTCATTTGATTGGAGCTGCAGTGGTATTTGCAAATCAGTGGAGAAGATGAAGTATGTTCACGAAAGGTGTGGTGAAGGGGATGGAACTGGGGCTGCTCTATTTTAAATGGTGGGAGGGTGAATGCTCGGCATAAGCGAATTGAAACCATTCATGTGCAGCCACACCAAGCAATTGGAGGGAGATTTTGTTTCCGTATCAAGCAATTTATACAAAAATTACACATATGAACAACATATTGCCTCCGGTAAACCACCGAGTTTGGAAGCAAGATTTGTTGCATCAGTTATATATGATTATTGTATTTATGTTGTAGTTGTCACTCAAATTTGAAGCGTGTGATTTAGAAAAGTAAAAACTGTGGTTTTAGTGAGTGTGTTTATTTTTTATTTTTTAAGAGGGGAGTGGGGGAGGGATTGAATGGAGGATGTTTTGGGTGTTCATACACAAAGGGATTCATTCAAATTGTAGTTGAAGTTTTACATATTGGTAATTTGGACTCAAAATATTTACAGAAGGCTTGTTTGGCTGCCCTGTCTAAGTCAGTTTTTGGAATTTGATGTTTCAGTTCTAAAGTTTATTGTTGTTGAAATGTTAATGTAGATCTGAAATTTCAGGTTCATTTTACTTTGGAGTGAGCTTAAAGTCTTTACGTAACTCTTAGCTAAAACGAAAGAAAAAAAAAAGAAAAAAAAAAAAAAGAAAAAAAGAAAGGGTTCATTTTTACACAATTTTAAGAGCAACTCCAATAATGGGTGGCTATTTGGGCTGTTATTATTAAAATATAGTATGTGAGTTTAAAATGGATTTTTCAATAGCATGCCAAATGGGTTGTTAAAATATAATTTTGTCAAATGTTATGTCAAATATAACATAACATATAGTTATTGTCAAATTTGCTATTACTTTCTTCCTTCTCTTTTCTCTCTCGCATGGGCTGCCAATTTGGTATTGGACTGTCAATTTAGTGTTGTGCTTATGTATATATATATATATATTAGTACTTGTGTGTGTATATATATATGTTAGTGTTTTTATTTATTTATTTTTAATTAGACAAATAAGCTAAATAATAAAAACATTCACAACAAAAAAAATAAAAAAAAATAAAAATAAAAATAAAAATAAAATTATTGTTGATAATTGTAGTTGGGAATCGTAATTGAAAAATAATAGTAAAAAAAATAACATTTTGGATGAAATGCACCATTGAAATAGAATTACTAAAATATAATATTTTAACATTGTAGTTCCTCTCAAAATATAAATTTGACATGTAAAAATAACATTTTTTTTTTATTAGAGGTGGCCTAAATGCATTTCAAAATTTGACATTCTTTTTTAGAATAGGTATTTGTTGTCACCATATTATATATGCTATTGTAAATTAAGTAATGATACTCGCTGCATGTAGTGAAGTGGGGACCATATGAGTCAGAAAAGTCTCGATTCCAGAAGAATGAGTTGAAGCAACGCCTCCAACTTGTGTGACAGAAAAGTCCTGAAAATGAGTTGAAGCAACGTCTCTGACTTGTGTGACAGAAAAGTCTTCCACCATGTTTGCTGACAGATGAGCTGAGGCCACTTCTTCCATCGCGTGCACCACAAATGATCTTGTATTGCAGTATTGAAGAGGGCTTTTCGAGTATAGTGCTATCATGCATTTTAAAGAACTTAATTTCTAAAAGAGTGGTGATTATACAAGACTTTTAATTGTTAAATCGAGTGATTTTTAATTATTTATTTATGTTAAATATAAGTAAGTGAAATATTTTATTTCTTTATATGTTACATAAATGGTCAATTAAAAATAATAAATTTAACAATTCATTGTAAATAATCAGTGCAAAAATTATTTTTCTTTTTTCTAAAAATAGGACACGAAAACTTATATAAATATAAATATTTATTTATGAATCTTTGTAATAAAAGGATGAAACTCTAAACCTTAGATAGAAATACCCAGAAAAGAAAGGAAATAGATAATTTATGAACATTTTAAAAAGTTTGGTGAGCAAGTAAAGGAAAAACTTGAAGGAAAATTAAGCTCCACTATCAACTAACTTTTCCATAAAAAATTTCTACTAAGAACACAAGAAAATTTTAATTTCTTGAGGAAGTTATATGAATTTAAAATAATACCCTTTGTTTTATTGTAAATTTCATGCTACTCAAACTATAAAATAGAAAATTTTCATAACTTTCTTGAAAATTTTGTATGCTAATCAAATACACTATGAATTTTTTATTTTATTCATTTCACTTTCTTTAGTTTTCACTTTCCACTATTAAATTCCATCTATCCAAATCGGGCCAAGAGAATTAGGTAAAAATTACTGTTAGATACATATATGTCACACACATTTTAGTTAGAACTAAGTCTGAAGTGTCAAAACTTCCCTGCTATATATAGTGAATGTGCAAATACCCCTTAGTATTAAAAAAAAATAAAAAATAAAAAATAAAAATAAAATAAAATGTCGTACATTTTTTAAATTGAGCTAATAAGGACAATTCTTCAATTTGAAGGCCCAAATACCTAAAATACTATTAAGACAAAATAAAAATAAATTAATTTTAAAATATATATATTGTTGAGGGTGAAATTCACATGGTTCGATACGACACCGTTTACCTGCAGGGGAAAGAGGAGAAGATCAATGAACCTTGACAGCACCAGTGTGGTGCCTGCCAAGAGCTCTCCGACGATCAAGTTAGTCACTGAAGGTCTAAAAAGAAGGTAGGGATTTAATAATAGTTTTTTTGTCGTACCTTATTCCCGAGTCGTCGTCCTATTTATCGTCGCTTCCTTTATTCTCGATAAGGGAATTTCATCATTCTCATTCCATGGGACTTATCCCATGGAAATCTTATCCTTAATAAGATTTGTCATCATCCCCATGGAAATCTTATCCTGCATAAGATTTGTTATCATTCTTATCCATGGCAATCGTTACCTTTAATAATAAAATATTATCGTTGGTCACCGAAAAGATGTTGGCAGCTGGTCAACACTTGGTTGCCTCTATCGTTAGGTCAAGATAGGTTTATTTTTTCCTATCAGTTGCCTCCCATTCCAAAGCTTGCTCGTCTAGCTTTGGGAATGTAAGATTTTTTTTTTTTTTCCCTGCCCTGAGAACAGTATCCGCGGGTACTATTCATATGAACAGTAGCTAGCTTTGGGAATGTAAGATTTTTTTTTTTCCCTGCCCTGGGAACAGTATCCGCTGGTACTATTCATATGAACAGTAACAATTTTTTTTTTTCCTTGGCCTTGGGAACAGTACCCACGGGTACTGTTCATATGATTTTTTTTTTTTTTTTTCCTGTCCTGGGAATAGTACCCGCGGGTATTGTTCATATGAACAGTACCATTTTTATTTATTTATTTATTTATTTTTTTCTGGGTACTGTTCCCTTGGGTTCTATTTTTGGTACCCTACTCTGCCCTGGGTACTATTCTTAGTACCCTTGGGTGCTCTGCCCCTGGATATTATTTTTAGTACCTTTGGGTAATCTTCCCCTGGGGTGCTCTGCCTCTAGGTACTATTTTTAGTACCCTTGGGTACTCTGCCCCTGGGTACTAGTTTTCCTCATGTCGTCACTCCTTTAATAAGGGAATTGAACTTTACGAACTTTACTCAGCTCACCTCTTTAGTAAGGGATTTTTATTTACTACCCCTTATTGTAAAGCGGATGTGAATTACGGGATTTATTCAGCCCTGGTCCTTGTACTACAGGACACTCATTTATTATCCCTTATATTACGAGGATATGAATTACGGGATTCATTCAATCCGGGTTCTTGTAATACATGATACTCATTTATTACCCCTTATAGTACGGGGATACGGATTACGGGATTCACTCAGCCCAGGTCCTTGTAATACAGGACACTCATTTACTATCCCTTATAGTACATGGATACGGATTACGGGATTCACTTAGCCCGGGTCCTTATAATAAAGGACACTCATTTATTACCCCTTATAGTACGGGGATACTGCACGTATAAAGATAATTGACCAAGAGTCAAGACAACTGAAAAGAATTTTATTAAAGACCATCATTGCCTCAAGGCTTATTAAAAACAAGATAACACGTGAATGAGTTACCCTCCATTTAAAATGATTAACTAAGATGTCCCCGGTCTTTATTGTGAATTACTTGATAAGGCTAATTCCAGCCGTGAGACAATTTCTAGTCGGTATACTCATCTGAGTCCTTCTCATGATATATGCTATCGCTCTGGCTGAAGAACGATCTCTTATATTTGGTATTATTTTCATCCCTGGCGAGAGGGGTTGGCTTCTTCTTGTCCTCTCCTTCCTTCTGTGCACTCATGGTGTCTTCAGTATTGATGTGTTTTTGCACTCTGATCAGCAACTCTATTATACTGGTGGGAGGTTTTTTTTGATAAGGAGAACAAGAATCTGGAGGTTTAGAGTCCTCCTATGAAAGCGGTCAAAGCTACCTTGTCATCCACCTCTTCTACCTGCAACATCACTGCGTTGAATCGGGTGATGTATTCCCAAATCGACTCTTCCTTTTGTTGCTCCAAGGTAAACAGGTAGGTAGCCGGCCTCCTATGCCTCTGACTTGCAATGAAGTGGCTCACAAACTGCTTACTTAGTTCTTCGAAGGTGTTGGTTCCTGGCTTCAGCTTGTTAAACCAAACTCTTGCTGATCCCTTAAGTGTAGTGGGAAAAGCTCGGCACATGATTTCGTCTGGCACAGTGTGTAAATGCATAAGAGCTTGAAAAGTTTCCAGGTGATCAAGGGGATCTTTGGTCCCATCGAAGCTTTCGAACAAGGACATCCTGAACTTGCTAGGTAGTGGACATTTTATAACGGCGGGGCTGAACGACAAGTTGGTCCTTTGTACCAGGTCATCTACGGCGGCAGGACCTTTCCCTTTCAAAGCCTGCATTACATCTTCCATTTTCCCCTTGAGATCCTCGATTTGTAGGTCGAGATAAGTAACTTTCTTTGTCTTTTCCTTAAGACGGAAAGCTGTGCTTTCAGGAGGTCGGGAACTCCGTGGGAGAGATGGGTGAACCACCTCTCTATGTCGGGTTCCCACCTGGCTTTGTTCCACTTCAGTCTCATTTTGGGGGGGATGATTATCCTGCTCTTCAAGATTTCCATTACCTCCGTTTGGATTTGAGAGATCTTGTCGTGGCAAGTTTTGTTGAACCGATGGAAAAAGATGTTGTAGGAGCGCTGTATTTTGCTGGATCAACTGGTCCATACCTTGACTCAGAGTTTGGACCTGCAGTTCCAACGCTGCAAGCCGTGTTTGGTCATTTGGGACGTCCAAGTTTTCACCCGACTCTACCCTTTGACTAGATCCCTGCGATGGTATTCCTTCGGTAACTATACCGGACTGCAAACGTATATACCCAACAGAGTAATTAATTAATTCAAGGGAATCGTCATTCCCACAGACGGCGCTAACTGTTGAGGGTGAAATTCACACGGTCCGATACGACACCGTTTACCTGCAGGGGAAAGAGGAGAAGATCGATGAACCTTAACAGCACCGGTGTGGTGCCTGCCAAGAGCTCTCCGACGATCA